TGCATACCTCTTTTTTTTTTAATACCATTAATATAATTTAGTATATGACATTAATTTTAATTAAACTGAAACAGCTCCAAAACAAACTCAATAGCATGGATTTAACATTCTGATTTGGGTCATTTGCTGTCCCAAGTTATAAACTAGACTTTGCCAGTTAACAATTACAATTCAAATTACATTAAAAAAAATAATAATAAATAAATAAAAATAACACATGATTAAAGATGTATGACCCTGCTGGGGTCCACTTCATGGCTATTTATTGGCTTCATCAGTATGATTAATGAAAAGCAGACAGTACATACCTTTTTATGAATATTTAGCACACACCTCATGACCACATGATGGATGGATGGTTTGAAGACCAGTTTTCTTTTGTCTGTTGATGTATTTCCCAAACAAAAAGCATGGATGAAACATAATAGCCACCAAAACATGACTTGCTACTTGCTATTGCTAATGAGTGGCAGGTGCTATTAGTGGGAGGGATGTTCTCAGTCTAGAGAACATTTGATTGGACAAAATGTATATATGGCCTTAGTTGGTCCATCGTTGCTCCATTTTCCCAGTTCAAGACTGGATTTGAATTGTGGAAATATTGGATTTGAAATGTAAATTGTAGTGTAGGCCTATATATAAGAATATAATATATCTGCTACAATTGTATTTTGTCATCCTTCAGGACACCAGCATATACAAATCTAGTACCTAACAACAACAAAACATTTTAGATTCATGGGGTCTAACTCAGACCAGTAGTGTCACATGACAAGTTTGTCACATCAAAAACCGGAAGTAAGCACTCATGAAAACTATATTGGCGGTCCAAAACCTTTTTTTTTCCTGGTAGTTAGTGGAGTTCCCCTTTAGGTTCTTGTTTACACATACTTGTTGCCCACAGCAAATTAGTTTCTTCCAACACAGGCATTATTTGGATGGTGAGATTCTGCTAAGATGGTATAGAATTAAAACATGTTTGAGCTTATATTAAGACTGCAGGTTCAAATCTCCAGGAAGTCAAACACAGGTTAGATGTTCAAACACAAAGATGTCATAATAAAAGTTATGTCAGCTGCAGGTAACCCCCTCTCAGGTGCTTGTTCCCATGGCAACTACAATGTTTACAAACATTGTTTTTTTTTTTTCTGTTAACCCGGAAAAGACCTCGACTTCATACTATTTCAGTCAAATTGAGTGGGTTAACCAAACACTGGAAGATGTCCAAAAAAGTCCCGTGTTGGGTTGCAAAGCAACATCTTTGGATGTATTGTTGGCGTATCTGCATACCACTTTTTTTTTTAATACCATTAATATAATTTAGTATATGACATTCATTTTAATTAAACTGAAACAGCTCCAAAACAAACTCAATAGCATGGATTTAACATTCTGATTTGGGTCATTTGCTGTCCCAAGTTATAAACTAGGCTTTGCCAGTTAACAATTACAATTCAAATTACATAATAAAAAAAAATAATAAATAAATAAAAATAACACGGTTAAAGATGTATGACCCTGCTGGGGGGGGACAAAATATGAAACAAGCTTAAGCTGGTTGGCTTGGTTGGCTGGTTGTTTATCTGGTCTTCCAGCCTGGTCATAGCTGGTTAGCAGGCTGGTTTTAGAGGGGTTTTGAGAGCCATGTGTTGTTTAATTGACAGCATTTGAAACTAATGGGACAAACCTTGAAGTAAGTGTTTTTGGGCCGAAAAGGTTTGAGCCTTTTAGTTTTCTTTAGGGACAGTTTGAATACCTATTTAATAGTAATTAGCATATAGCTAATTCGAGGTCATCCACATTTCATTCTGACTGAGTTACAGATCACAGTGTTAATGCTGCAAGTATAAGAGACATGATTTAAATGTATAATAAAAAAGACATATTGGTGAACAGAACACCTACTTCAACCTTAAACCAGCCAAGACCAGCTAACCAGCTTAGGCTGGTTTTAGCTGCACATAATATAATCAGTTGTCATAAATTTCAATATAAGCATTGTTGACTGTTATACACTAACTCACTAAACTATCAATAAACTGTAAAAAAAAATTATAATAAATAAAAGTGTTCAATTAATCTAGACTCACTCGCATTCACACACAAAGTCGTACGCAAACACGCACAAAAGCTTCCACCATTGCGTCTTCATATGATGTCAACAGAGATTAAACTAGTTTATTATTTTTAAAGAGGAAAAAAAAAAACGCTAAAAGCAAGTCTTTTTTTATACTAGTGATTATTAAATTTGTACAACCATTCAGTCTGCATTACATAAAGAAATAATTCTACATCTTTGTTTCTTTCGTATTTTTGGTACTCTGAATTATACATACAAATAACAAATACAGGAACTTTTTTCACAATGCATATAAACTGGGCCCAAAGAAGTCTTTCAGGTGTATACGTGAGTGTGTGTGTGTGTGCATGTGTGTGTGTGTGTGTGTGTGTGTGTGTGTGTGTGTGTGTGTGTGTGTGTGTGTGTGTGTGAACACAAACCAATTGCCCAAGACCTATAACACATCCAGAAGAGTAGCTGGAAGTCTGTGAAACAGACCTGACTACAAGTTTTAATGCATTACACACCATTTCCTTTCTACTTTTCTTCTCCCTAGATTTCGTCTCTTACTTTTCTCGTCATTCAGATAGAAATCGTGGTCGCGTCGCCACGCCGTTCCATCGTCCAGGTTTGAGTCGTACCCTTCTTATCATTAGCTGCCCACGGGCATTTCCTGTCCTCGCCTTTTTTCATTTTGCGCTTTAAAAAGTCTTCATTAAATGTATTTCAGACTATTTTTTTACAAATATATGCAGAGTTCATCTCCTGTTGTCATTCACAGCTCGATTCCTCATGTCTCACGGGGACGAAGAAGAGGAGATACGTAGAAGAAGTAAAGGAGCGGGTTCGGGAAATAGAGGAGGTTTGTTTAAAGACTCGTAATGTTTGTGCCTTGATGCCCACAGGAAAGATGGCATTTGTACACAAATGAAGGTTGACATCAGCGCGAGGCTTCATGATTGGAGGGGCGATGAAGAAAGTCATTGTCTTTTCTCTTTCATTCTCACTGTCTCTCCCTCATAATGTGGGGTTCGAGGGGTTTAAGCGGGGCATACCGGGGTCTTGGGGGGGGGCTTGTAGCTCAGACGGAGCACGTGAGAGAGCTGGTTCAAGGTCGGAGGGTTGCGGTTGTGACAGGCTTCAAGGTTAACGGTGCTTTGAGACGTCCACCGTCGGGAGATTGGGCAGTCGGAGGTAGAAGGGCGCTCTAGCCCATCGCCGTCACCATACTGGAAGGGTGGTGAGGGGCGAAGGACAAGCTGGAGGAGGGGTGCATGGGGGTGTGCGTGGTCAACATGTGGCCGGAGTGTGAGAAGGGAGGGAACGAGGTCATGTGACGCGACAGGGCGGCCGGGCTGAAGGAACTGCTCTTTTCCATTAAGCTTTTGGAGAAATCCTCCATGCTGTCATGAGACTTTTTGCACTTCTTGGACTTGCTGGACATCTTCCTGTTCCGGGTCTGGATGCCCTCCTTCTTCATGGTGAGTGGTCGGTTGATCTGCGAGGAGAGAGACGGCAGACGTTAATAATGGCCACGGTACCATCCCACTTACATAATAAGACAGGAGCATAATGGAAAAATTCGGACATTATTTTTCATCTCATAACACATCCAGAGGAACACTTTATTGCTTTGAGATTGGTTCTTCATATTTCAGGAGACCTTAAACCAGTTATGTTTCTTTTGAATATTAACTTAATCTCAGATGTTTCTCCTAAAAATCCTTAGGAGAAATAAAAACAGACACAAGGGAGACAATTCATAGAGTTCATAATGAAATTTCTGACAATTTTGCAGACTTTAGTAGATCAGAGCACAGTTTTTCTAAGAAGAAACATCTGAGAAGCAGAAGACCTAAAGGGATTCATTTTACTCATGTTGTTCCAAAACTGTATGACTTTCATTCTTCAAAAAAAAAATTTGAAAATGTCACAGTGTTTTTTTTTTTAATCCATATAATGAAGGTGTGGTTTTGGACCCCATTGACTTTCACTGTATAGACAAATGGAGTTGAAACATTCCTCAAAATATTTTCATTTGCGGTCCACAGAGGAAATAAAGTTGTCCGGGTATGGCCTGAGTAAAAAATGACAGAATTTTCATTTTTGGGTGATTTATCCCTTTAAGCAAAAGTCATATTCTTTCAATCTAATCTCTGGAATTGCTGTCTTGGGGAAACAACTGAGATATTAAACAGATCTCATATATGATATCTCCTCCTTACGGGCATATTGAAAGCTGACACCCTTTTAAGACACAGTTTGTGGGATTAGGATTTGGTTGAACAATGTCGTTCACTTCACACACTCATAGTAATACTTTGAATCCAAGCATGTGTAATAGAGCTACACTATATCGCAGATATGTCGGTTTCTCTGTTTGAGCAAGCGGGTCTGTATGTATGAGTGTGTGTGTCGGGTCATATCAGGACTAGGCTGGATTTAGCATCTGAGTTCCCTGACACCAGGCATGGACGGTGCCAGACTCTGGCCAGACTCTGAAGCGCAGTGGCACTGTCACTGCCACATCAGTCTGCCAAAGCCTGCCACTTTCACCCCATAATTGGACTTTCTCTATCTCCCTCTCTGTCTTAAAACACTCTAGATGCTTTGTGCAAGAGCTATTAAGTGATACTAAAACATATTCCTTTACAGGCTTAATGCGTTTTACTTTATTTTAAGACTTTAAGACTTAATAAACTGTGAAATTTCTACTTTTATTTTACCATTTTGATTTCTAAAAGATCAATAAACACTTCAAAATTGTGATTTTTTTTGCAAACCTGTGCAAATTGTGTAAATACTTTCCTGTATAATTTAGTCATTCAGTTCACTTAGTTTCAGTATTTCTGAATTTGTAGCAATTTTCTAATTAGTTAACATCAAATTGAATTATATAAAAACATATCTGCAAAAACTGTTCTCTAGATATCTGCATTGACGTCTGTTATCGGAAAACCCATATTGGCCAACCACTAATGTAAATGTGAGCGAATGTGCCAGTGTCTGCGTCTGTGTAAAGTCACACCCCAAAGTAAAACTGTTCATTTAAAACATCTCCATTGGGCATCACAGAAAACACATGCTTATAGCCGTCGGCTATAAGAAACTCTCTTAAATGTTATTCAGTTATGCTTTTTTGGGGTTTGAAATGACCACATAAAGATTTTTTTTTTAGAAGGAAACGGGTCAGAAGTCTAACCCCAGACTGACAGACATACAAATACAATCACAACTCAGTTCTTCTGACAAATCCCTGTCGGCTAAATGAGAGATGGGAGTGGTTGTGATACTGCAAACATGCGAGTTAGTGAAGAACCCTCTGGAGAGAGCTCAGCTCAATTTAGCATGCAAAATCTGGAATTTGATTCAAAGCAGGCCGACCTGAACAGAAAATAGGATGTACCAAAACAAACTCATTTTCCAATTATCCAAACTTTTGGTTGTTTCAAACGATAATACATGTTATGTGTTTCCCTGATAACCTAGGTCAGGTTTAGGGGATTTATTTTTTCTCGAGTTCTTATGAAACAGCCAAAACCAACATGGCAAAATGATTTAAAAGGGTGCGCTTGTGTGACTAGTAGGGGAATGTAACAAGAGTATGGGGCCTCAAAGTGTGATGATACAGGATACCAGAGCTGATTAGGTAGAATGAAAATGTTCCCCGGCATATGTTTAACATAGAAATACCACCAACTGCAGTGTAATTCAATAGTACAACAGTACTAGCAGTTTAGCTCTAGCATAATAGCCATAAAAGTAAATAATAATATGAGAAAGAACAAGACGAATCTCTGTATGTAATTGACTCTAGCGGCTTGAGACCATTGGGGAACATTAAAACATTTCAGGTTCGCAGATTGGGTTAAGCTGTCCCTGGGGTGCGAAAATCACAATACCAACTACTATAATAGGGCCAATTGGACAGGACTCGGAAAACGCAACAAATCGGAACTTTTTTGATGAAAAAAATATTTGATGAAAATAATATTATAATGGTCGTTTAACATAAGTTCTACATTTCATTTTTGAGAAGTCAATGCATGAACCTTGTTGTGAATGTTGAAAGAAAGAAAGAAATAGAATGAAAGAAATGGCATGAAAGCTGCCATCATGCAAAGAGAAGATAGAGATAGAAAATATCTTACTAGATAAGTGTAAGACAGCTATGGAGCTTACGTTATGTAATTTGTAATAGAGGCCGCAGGCATTGCAGACGGGATCGCCGTTCGCATTTCTCCGCCACAGTGTCGTCGTGCTCGTTTGACAGTTTGCGCACGAGGTCCCCGCTCGTCTGGCAGCAGACTGATGGACATACACACACAGAGAAAGAATCACGATTATTACACTCATAATATAATAACTTAAGATGATGATTGCATTCCTACAGTGCTAATGGCCCCCAACCCTCCTGTTTCCTGAAGCTGCAAATGGTTTTAAGCAATGCAGAAATATGTCAGAGGAAAAGAGATCTCCATAACACTGGTGCCTTAAACTCTAGGGTAAAAATAGTGCCTTGCGCACATACCCTCTCAAACCTAAATATTTACAGAGGACATGAAAGCACTGGTTTAAATAGTGCCCATTAAAGCTGATGACATTTTCCCGTTAAATGATGGAGAAACAGCGGCTCTGCATGAAATGGATCCATGTTTAAACATCAACCTTCAGTTAGATATTAGCAATCTTTATTCACATCAATATGCTGCACTAAAATACCTTGCTCTAAATTAACATGCATTGATTAAAAGCAGTTAGAATTATTCATTATAAGCAGTTACTGGCATAATCCAATATAAATATAATATAAAACAAATATAAATAAGTAAAAAAAAAAAAAAAAGAGTAAGTAAAAAGTAAATATAAAAATAAGTAAAAAGGATAATGGAAACAAGGGAAGACTCAAAAGAAATGCAATGAATTTGTAGGGATCAGCAACATATTTTGAAATGGACTATGCAGAAAGAAAATTCATGCTGTGTTCTCGGTTAACATACAGGAATGCTGAAGGTATGTACTGACATGACAAATTATTCTTAACTGTGTCGTTTAATTCAGTTTAAAGCCAAACGATAATCAGTTAGCGACGTTACTTATTATGACTGACTGTTTGTTTTTCTTTCTTTTTTTTCTAACGGACTCGTTTGTAAATTACAAAATACAGCTCAATTTTATTGGTAAATAAATTAAATTCAAACACATTAGTCAAAGAGAACAATATTTGTTCTATAAAGGTAATTCTTTATTCCTGTTTTATTCTCCTACGTACTATTATTTTCTCTTTTTCTAGACTATTTGAGCATAGTGAAGATCAATCTGAAGTCGTGACTCCTTTCTGCGTGTTCTCGCCCGTATGTTTAGACTGCGGGAGAGAGCGCTGTTGTTCGAGGAGTTTTATCAGCAGAGCTCAGATATCCGCCAGTCTTTTCCTGAGAAGTCGGCTTTTCACATTAGAGAGGGAGAGAAGGCCGATGCCAAAATAGCAGCGCTCGGACTATTTCACTGCGCCTCAAGAGCCTCGACTCTATCCAAAGCCCAAAGAGAGACGCGTCTGTGCTGCCACGCCATTGAAAAGCACAGAGTCTCTCTCTCTCTCTCTCTCTCATTTATTAAATCCCTGTGAAACAGTGTCCCCTGATGAATGGCATGTTGTCAGAACTGAACCTAATTTCTGCAGACATATTTGACCTGTTGGAGCTGATCGCCTCCCACGCGTACTCATTTGAGATAAGCGCTCGTTTCACAACACTTTGAAGTCTCTCCGTGACAAATTTCGTTATGCTGACACAGTGTCAGCAATATTTGCGATCAAATAAAATTGTCTATGGATTTGTTTCGAGCAGAAAAATAGAAGGGGGAAAAAAAAATTCGATACATAAAATGGCATTATTATTATTATTGATGATAATAATAATAATAATCATAATAATCATAATAATAATAACTGCTATTGCTTAATCTTAAAGAAATGAGACCTGCGCTTGGCGAGTCAATTTCTTGCAGCTAACACTTCTTCCTGGGTAGAAAAAGAGAAAGAGACAGAAGTGTCATTAATACAGTGCAATAGAGCAACATACCAGCCTCCGCTTGGGCTTGATGAGGGGTCGGTTCTGTCCGTTCATCTTGTGGTACAGTCCGCAGGCGTTACACAAATAGTGACCGGTGCCATCCCTCCGCCACAGAGGAGTCGAGGTGGCCCCGCAGTTAACACATTCTCTACCTTCTGCGAACACAGACATACACATACGCATGCACAACTGATTTTTTAGAACCACTAAAACACACTTGCATGCACACTTAAGCACAACTACACAGTCATAGGCCACGCCACTAGTGAACATACTAAACCCCAGTGGCCAGTCGCTTTGATTTATTTTTAAAAATACTAATAATTACATATCAATATTATACATATAAACAATATATTTACTAATAATTGTATTAATATTACAGACATATTGCACACATTAAAAATTACAAATAATTAATTATGCATAAAAATACGAAAAGGCAATATCAAACATTCACACAGGCTAAAGATTCGCATTGATCAAAAATAGTGAATATGGAAATGCATTAATAACATTATTATTACTACTACTACTATTTTTAATGCATTACCACATACAAAGCATTCTCTAATATGACATAACATGAGCTTAACTCCTCAATCGTCAAATATGACATCATCTGATAAGATCTACAAATAACTTAGCGGTTCTAAAGTAGGCAATGCTGTGAGAATGTACACAGAGATGGGTCTTATCAAACGTCTTATCAATACTGCAGGCTCTAAACAACGATGTCTTGAAAATACTGTATGATTTATTAGAAGAGGGAATCGCAAATATAATATAGCTATAGCTAGATAAAGTGGCATGACTCGATTTCCAAAGAAACAACCTCCCGGTTCATTAAACCATGAGAATAAGAATAATTATTTGTGAAATGTTAAAGCAGATTTTAGGATCTAAGGCTGAAATATTGTTAATTAAACAGATTCAGTAGCAGTAAGTGAAAGCGTCGGTCTAATTAACTCATTGTGTAACCCGCTCTCTTTACGTAATTAAAACACCGCAACGTTTGATTGGCATTCTTTCCGTTTGACTGACAGGTGAAGGGTGCACGCTTCACATGTTCAGTGACCCACGCCTCCGGTCGCTCTGCTAAAAACAAGCTCGCCGTGCAGCCCACCCTGTACCCGGCAGAATTTCTGCCCTCATGTGTAGAGCCAACGAGTCTCTTTGTGCCTCTGCTTACTGCCCCAAAAACCACAGAGCTCGCGAGTACACCTCATATAGTGACACACACAAGTGCGTAAAAGAGGGTTCTGCTGCATCTATAGAAATCACGCAGTATACCATTTTGGTTCAAACTAAAACCTAAAGAACGTTCTGTGTGTGCTTAGATACAGTCTATGCTTATTGTGCAAAATATTTATTGCACATAAAACAGAAAACGAATTAAATAGCAATGATATGTATCTAAACGTTATTAAAAATAATAATAAATTAGTAACACACAAGTTAAAACGATTATAAACTAGAGCAGAATAGATATTGTTTTCTCATATCATAAAAATCAATTGCAAGGAATGGACCACAATTTACAAAATGGTCCGTTCGCTAATCGCATTTGAAAAGCTGGTTGACCTTTTGAAATCATTTTCTCTGTGTGTTTGGGTAACACTCTGTCTGTGCATGTCGGCCGTGCATTGCGCCAGCTCATTCGTTATTCCGAGCGATCCGCGGCTCATCCGGACTCTATCAAAGTTTCTGCGCAAAGTAAACAATGCAACTGTCGCGTGCAGCAGTCTGAAAATAATTGGATTAGCTTAAACACATAAACGCGAGAGAGACGGGGCCGTGCGCTGCGAGGCACGAGAGGAGCAAGAGATGAGAGAGAAAACACACGCACACACACACATCTACATCCGGAAAACCCAAGCGCTCCGCTTTAAACGTGTAGCCTCATCTGCATATGCTGAGCGACGTTTAATAAATCAGGGAAGCTAATTCCGCTTTGTAACTAGACGACATTAGATATAATATTCTTCAAAGCGGAATATAATCACGGAATAGTGCAAGGCAGGCGTGTTAACAAATCTCTAATATCTGTAAAAGAACAAGTCTACTGCGGATTGATCGTTTAAACTGATACCACAACAAAAAACCGAGATAATTACATCATAAATTAATCAAGCTAACAGGATTATACAATAGCTCAAATTAATTATATTAATTAAAAAAAAAAAGTTTCACATATGCATATGCATATATATATATATATATATATA